GTGGCAACAGTAGTGAGGTTGGCCCAGGATCGGGCAGTGTTTCGTTCTGCTGTACATAAGGTTCCTATGAGTCGGTACCAACTCGATGGCGCCTAACAACAACAACAACTAACAGGTTGGTGTTGGTTTGTGTTTGTATGTCTTTGGATGTCTTTTTGATTTCACAAAATAGAAACAAAATTAGGCATAGGATGAAAAAGGGACATCATGAGTTGCCCATGGCTGATGAAAGTGGGGACATTTTGGTATAATTCCTTGCACTCACTAGCTTTCCCTTACATTCAGAAATCTCTTATTATGGCCTGATTTCTGCTTAGTCCCTGTACCCTGTTATAATTATTATTTTATTCAGACAGCAAAATTATTTTCTCTCTAACTATGATACTCCCATTTTAAATGATCTTATCTTTTGAAGAACATTAAAAATACTTTGGAAAGTCTGTAGTTCAAAATTTTTACTTTATACAGTTTCTGAAGTCCTTTGGCATTGACAATTAAAGAGTACCAGGTTCAAGGTAGTAAGGTTACTTTTCTTGGAATCATCAATTGAATGAAGAGCTTTTATTTTTAACTTCTCTTCCTTTCCACCAAGTTAAAAATAAAGAATAATTGTGCCCTTTACTCATTAACATTATCATAATGTCTCAAATAGCATCTGAAAAGGAAAAATAAAAATAACTGAGTGTTTAAAAAGTCAGTTCTTTTCACATTGTTCTTGTTGTTAAGTGCTGTCGAGTCAGTATCGACTCATAGTGACTCTGTATAGGGTATCTGAGGAGTGGCTAGGGAGCTTGAACTGCTGACTTTGAGGTTCAACATGACTTTGCAGTCCATTGCATTAACCCACAGCACCACACCAGGACACCTTCTTTTTATATTATGGTAACTTTATTCAAATGAAATCTGGGCTAAAAAACAAATACAAGTTGGGTTGTTTGGGGCTTACTATAATGATTTCTGTGCAGCTCCTTTTAGACAGGGATCCCTTTCACTAAAATCCCTGCAAACATGGATACCAAAAGCCTCCTTTCTGAACAAGAAAGAGGAACAAAGAATGGATGTTTCTTCTTCTGTGTTTGCAACAGAAGGAAAAGGACTTAAGAGTAGACACAAGTTTTATTTTTTTAAAAAAATTATTAATTCTTAAATCAAGACTGGACATATACTACAGAAAAAAAAAACTCTGGTTTCTGGTGATGTACAATTTTAAGAAGCCACCAACAGAGGCTTTATGTCACACTAGGTGAGTCCAACCTGTACTCTGTATTAGAACTTACTAACTAAACTTGTTGTAAACTATAACTGATTAAAGTGCTGTGGTGCAATTAGGCTACTAACTGCAAAGTAGACCATGCAAAACCACCTGCTGCTAACTCACTGTGAGCATTTCCTGTAAAGATTTACAGCCTCAGAAATGTAACATAGGCTCACAGTTACTTGGATTTTACTGAATGGTAGAGGGTGGGTAACTGATGGGTCAGTGTGTGATTATTGCCTTCTTTGCATAGTATTCATGCAGGGCATAGCTGATGTTCCATGGGGCAGTGATGATTCAGTGGCAGACTTCTTACTTATTATTTAGGAAACCTGAACAAAATTTTGGGCCAAATCACCTCAAGCACAACCACCAACCATTAATTAATGAATATTTGCATGCTGCTATGATTCTGAACAGACTTCTGGAGTGTTGCTGTAGGATAAGCACTGGACTGTGAACCACAGGACTGGCAGTTCAAATCCACCAGCTGCTCCTCAGAAACCCTATATAGGGTTGCTATGAGTAGGAACTGACTCGACAGCACTTAACAGCAACAACAGAATGGGGAACAGGTTTCATCAGCATTTCCTGACTAAGACTGTGAAGAAAGATCTGAAGGCCTACTTCCAAAAAGCAGCCAATAAAAATCCTAGGGATCACAATGGTCCAAACTGCAACCAATATATTGAGATAGCACAGAACCCAGTAGAATTTTGATTGCCTTCAACAAGGGGCCAACTCATTGGTAGCTAAGAACAAAAAATTACACTCCTGGGATCAGGAATCCTTCAGCATCCACATTCTCTAAATTTATGAGTAAATACATAAGGTCATTTAGAAAGTTTACTGTATTAGATGCATGCTTATTTTAAAGTGTCATTCATAGTAAAGAATTGGACAATGTCTTGACAAAGATTGCCTTAGGCAATATTCTCTAGAGAAGCAAAACTAGTGAAACTTACATATGTTTGTATATGTTGTCAGTAAGTGTCATGGAGTCAGTTCCAACTCATAGCGATCATGT